CAAATCCACAAAGCACATGTAGACCGGATGGGCATATTCCCAGGCCCCTTCCAGGACACCTGCGAGAGTGAAGAGTTGGTCTGTTGTTCCACGACCAGGACGTATTAATGTTAAAAATGAAAAAAAAGCATAATACAGAGAATTGTATAAAAAAGTTTGCAATCAGCTGTTGATATGATCTTCTTCAATATTTGGCAAGGCTAAAAAAACTATGGCCTGCTTCAGTTTGAATGATTCTAATCCTTCATGTGTCCACTGAATCTTTTCTGACGTGCCATAGATCATATCATGTACTGGTGTCAACATAATTGGCAATCCACAGTCTACAAAAGTTACACATGCCTAAAAAAGGACATTATTTGTATTTTTGTCTCTGGCTGAGGTATCTGTAGGATAGCATTTTCTCATTTCTTGGGAAAATATAGTTGTGGATTCATAATAGCCTTGAGCCAACTGCTATATGTATATATCTTGCCTTTATAAGTGAATGCAAACCAGAATTGTGATTTTGTATCTAATCGAATTGAGAAAAATGCATTCGCTAAATCTATCACAGTGTACCAGACATTTGTGGGCTTAATATTGTTTAAAAGAGTGTAAGGATGAAGTACATTTGGTGCACGTGGAATCACCGCTTTATTTACAGCTTGCAAATAATTTACTAGTCTCCAACCTGTAGCAGGAGGCAGCTTTTTAACTGGCAAGATTGGTGTATTACATTCCACCAGAGCACATTTTTTTTATCAGTCCTTGAAGTTTTTACTTCAACCATGCCATCCTCTGCTTCAAGTCTTAATAGGTACTGTCTTACAAAAGGTCTGTAGTTATCATATAACTTTGTTTGTTTTGTTAAAGGCTCAATAGCCATATTTCCAGTTGCAGATAAGATAAGATGGTCCTTTATTGATCCCCGGTAGGAGAAATTCAATACAAGAAACAGCAGCATAGGGGAATGTAGTACTTTTTTCATCTCCCTTGCACACTTTCAGAATCTTTTCAATCAGTTTTTTACAACCGTCAACCTGCAGTGTAAAAAAATGTTCAGTAGGTCTTACACAACCCGATGCCTATGACCATTTTCAGTAGGTCTTACACGACACTAAATTTTAGGCCTTTTTCACACACACACAGGTAACCATTTTGTCTTCAAATGAAAAAACTGACTTCTCACCTCTATTCGATCCCGTAGACCAACCAGTCCCTCCTCCCACCTTATGGAATGCCTTATTCTGAATTCACAGAAAAGGATTTTTTATTTTGCCGTGCACAGTCTCTTTACTCCCAGGTCACGGAGGAGGGAAAGAAAGGCGCTCAGGATCCGGCTTCAAGGGCCAAGTTTGTGGGTGAAGAATCACGCCCAAAGAGAGTATATTTTCAGTCAAAGCAGGATACTTGTGAACGTGTACTAACTGCCACCCTGCAGCCAATAAATATGATTTATCGTAAAACACTGCATTACTGTTGTTGAGTGTTATCTTCTTTCTGTTGCAGCGACCACATGGAAGTTCGTGCTGCTCGGACTGGCCTTTGTCTGCCTTCTTGTTGGTTTTCTGCTATTGGGAATGGGAGCCATGGCCAACAAGTATGAACCGAAGTTATACAATAATTTTCAATTCAATTTATTTTCATAGCATGCCCAGTGGTGCAGAGATTACAGCAGCACCAAGTGCATTTGAGGTCCCACCAAAACGGCCTAATGATCATTAATCATAATAATGCTAATGTTGTTCAGCTCCACACACAGATACATGGAGAGCAGACAGACAGCAGAGAAAGGACAGACAAGAAAGAGATCTCGGTGCAGTTTATTAGAGTTGACGACAACTCCAGTACAAATTTAAAAAAATAAGAAAAGCAATATTTCCACCTGCTTTGTCCACAGTTGTATGGATAGATTTGTTGGATGGATGGATTTTCATAGCAACACTATATATGGCATAGTTTCCTGTCTTTTTTCTTTCAGGAGCAGAAAGAAGATTGCAAAGTACAAGGCAGCAGCTGCCATGGCTCAGAAGAGTGAAGGTGAGGAACTGCTGATCATTTCACTCAGAGATGACAGTAGCAGCAAACCATCCCTTGACAGCCTGCAGCAGGGAAACAAACCTTCCAATGGGGAGGTGAGTGAGCTCAAAGCAGGAAACATAGTAGTCACATGGAAAGATGGCAATACTTCCTGCCTATACTCAGATACTGCAGCAGTGGAGGAGAAACAGGAGGAGGCAGCTGCTGAGCCTGAGGCTGATGAAGCAGTGAAGACGATGGAGTGAAGAGTTCCGATAACACATTACAACAAGTGTGAATAATCTCAGCCTGTGACACAGTGTTACCATGGTCCTCTACACCTCTCTCACATACAGTTAAACTTTCACCACTTCTTGCTAGAAGCATGTACAACTTGCAATACATGCAGCCTGGTAGTTCAACAGACTAATCAGTCCTTGACATTGTTTGAATGTTAAATGTAGGGGTTATACCATATATATATATTGCCAACAGTGCAAGACCAAAGTTTATGTTACTCAATAGGCTAGTTCAACATTTTGGGAAATATACTTATTTGCTTTTCTTTCTAAGAGTGAACGTTTCTCTTTTGTCTGTATGCTAAGTAGGCTAAAGCCTACAGGGAAGTAGGTTATCTTAGCATAAAGACTGGAAACCACTAATCTGGCTCTGTCCAGGTCCAACACAATTTTAATTCTGAAATATATTTTTTTAAATAAAAAATCGTTTTTGTTATTGTTCTCGCTCAACTAAGCCCAACATGCATCTCTGCACCTTTTCACAGCCGGTATACATAAATAAAAATAAAATTACTTTCACTTAAGTGTGACAGTTAAATTGCACCGTACATTTGGAGATTAATTTTATCCAAAGCCTAAGTATATATATATAATGCACTGGTTGAACTTAGTTTTAGCTCGTAGCCCCACCTGGCGGAATCCACGCTACTGGATTTCACATGTTAATCTGTGACATTTCAAGACGCTGATAAGCTAATTTTTTTCATTTAACCTTTATAAAAAGCAAGACTAGCTCTTTTTCCATTTCCAGTCTTTTTACTAAGTTAGGCTAACTGTCTCATGGCTGTAGTTTGGTATTTCACATATCTAAGCTGGAATCGGTGGGAATTGTTGCATACTCCTTACAAATAACTTTATAAAGAGTATGGTGTACACCTGCTCTATTTGAGTGTCCCGAGATAACTTCTGTTATGATTTAGTGCTAAACAAAAAAAAAAGCTCACCAATGAACACAATGCATCTTGTTTGTTTAATCTGTACACAAAAATAAACAACACATTCTCACAGGTTGTCAGATACCAACGCTCCTTTCTTACACCCCTAAGCGTCTCATACACACGGTAAATGGACCAAAGGGTCACGACAAAACTTCTGTATTTAACCGCCTGCAAATAAGAACAGGCTAAAATAAATGTTAAATCAACAAGTTGTAGTTTTAGGAAGAGTTCCATGCTGTAACTGTGTCAGACAGCAGCCAGGTGTAGTGACTGTGTGCAGTTTCTTGGAGTCTTGTTGTCATGGGGAGGTTGTAGTGTGGTGACCTAAATTCAATTTTATTTTATAGTATATTAGATATGATCTCTTTTCTTAGTTCCTG